GGTTGGTGGCATGCACGGTTGAGTTGTCGCACCCGTCGCCGGTCGCGTTCCTTGCCCAGGTACTCCCGAGGTCGACCCGGCTGCATCCTTCACCGTCGTCGGCGATGTGGGTCCCACAGGCGCGGAGGACCCATCTTGCTCCATTGACTCCAGTTGCTTCCTCCTTTTTCGAGGGACAAGTTGAAAGGTGTCTGCGTCTTCTCCCTCCTCTGCGTCATCGTCCGGCCAAGCAAAAATCGTTTGCCGACGCTTGCTGGCCGGGTTCTCCTCTGGGTCCTCCTCGGGCTCATTGATACTTAGCTCTCCTCCGGTGAGCAGGGTGGTTACTGACCTCTTCTTCGACTATTTGGGGTAGCCGACCGCTTACTAGCAGCTTTGGCCGCTGCCTCCTCTCTAGCTCTGAGCACCGCCCAGTCGATGTCCTCATCCTCGATCTCAATGCTGGTCTAGGTGGTGGGATCAGCTCCTTGTGGCCACTCTACTCCAGGGGGTGGCGACACAAACACTGTCGCTCTATCCCGACCATTAACCTGGGTAACAAAAGGGAGTGAACACAGTAAGTTTTCACACTCTATCACAATATAAGACTACGGGTACGCGGCAAGACGAGTTACCTTTGGGGGAGTCGGGCAAGCTTGAAAGCATGCTCAATGTCGCTTAATCTGGCATAATTTGGATCGGCTAAGTTAAATAGCTCACCAATTCTAGCTTTGACTTCGATTTTGTCAAGCGCCCTCTGCCTCATCCTCGTTAGGTCTGCGCTCCCTTGATACTCATAGCTAGGATGTACCCTCCTCTGGTAGGGCTAGACCCGTCGGCTGATGAAACTCCCGACTACGCTCGGACCATCCAATTTTTTCCACGGGATCATTCCAAATATTTCTGGGATCTGTCCCAGGTGCTCGGGCTTCTCCGACTAGCTCGTCTTCTTCTCCTGAATGTAGCCCGCGTCGCACAGCGTGATCGTGTTTGGCTCTTCACGGATGTAGAACCATTTTTTGTACCAGTCGTCGAGCGACGTGTTCCATGGGCAGTGCAGGTACTGGGCTTTCATGCCGTCACGGAGGTTGAGGTATACACCCCCGGCTATCTTCGAACCACCGCTTCCTTTCTTCCGTAGACAGAAAAGATGGCGGAAAAAATTAAAATGGGGCTGGAAGCCGCCATACGCTTCGCACAGATGAATAAAAGTGGCGACAAGGAGGATCGAGTTAGGATGCAGATTGCAAATCCCAATCTCGTAGTAAAGACAGAGCCCCTGAAGAAATGGATGCATTGGAACTCCAAATCCCCATTTAAATAAATCCTCGAACACCACAATCTCACCTGGTTGTGGATCGGGGTACCTCTCGCCCTCTGGCGCACGCCATCCTATGAGCTCCTTGTTGTGGAGTACCCCCATGGTGACGAGGTCTTCAATGGTCTGCTCGTTGCTTTTCAACTTCCACCATTCCTTCGCCATGACCCCTGTTTTCTTCTGCGCATCACTTTTCGCCATTTCCTTTCGTTTTCCGCCTCTGACTCTGGCCTTGCTGGTGAACGAGGAGTGTGCTGATCATCAACAACAGCTGGGGATTAGCAGGGGTGGCAGTTGAAGCGGCGGTGGATTGATTGGTGGCGATTTCGGATCTGTTAGGGTTGGTTGGCGAGAGGAAGATGAAAGCTATGGTTGCGAATGGCAATGGGGTTCGGTAAATAGTAACTGACCTATCATATGCTGTATTTAACCCAAGAGTTACGCCGTTTCGTCTGCCCGGATTCTTGGGGGACGTGCGCACGTGCCGTAGATGGCTATTTTTCACATTTGCAGTATTACTCGGCCCCGAGATCTATGCCAATAAATGCGCCTCTTCGTTTCTAGTGTGGGAGGGCCCACGCTGACGCACCTACTTACAAGTGCCACGCAATTGTTTGCTTGACAAGATAAAAAGGCAGTACGACGTGCTATACCCGTCTACTTTTTTGACTAGATGTGTCAGACCAGACTTGACAGAACAAATAAATAAATAAATACATAAAATAATAGTAATAATGGCATATGGTTTTTTGCCACATTCTTTGTGCTCGGGGACTGTCCTGACCACCATCATGCTCGGGGACTGTTCCGACCACTCTTGTGCTCGGGACTGTCTCGACCACCCTCGTGCTCGGGGACTGTTCTGACTATGGTTATTCTCGGGGATTCGTCGTTTTCCCCATGCTGCGCTCGGGGACTGCCCCGACCTCTCTCCGACCATTGCTTGGGGACTACTCTCCTCGGCTATATGTGATTTGTACTCACATACAGTTGAGAGGCATTTATTTTTTCTCACTTAGACCTTGCTACAAGGCTGATACCTCGCCTTCCAGCAAGCTCGAGGACTACATCGGTACGATGCACCTATCGGTGCAGTTCGTATCGCCTGTAGGATGATTGGATTCTCAACTTAACTGGAAAATCTTTTTTAGACCCTGGCACCACATGCCTACGTCACCTACTACCAGGCTCGGAGACTAAGTGGACACACTTCACCTTGCGGTGAATGTGCTTATTTTATCGACCCCTACGCTCTGACTGTTGGCCATAACTACTCCTGTACAAGCGTCACTTACATTCCTTTTCAGAAATACAAGTGGGCACACTTGATCAGGAAAGAAATCTTTTTCTTTTTTTCTTTAGAGCACCATGCATTCTTTGGACAACCAGAATCTTCGGCTATAATCATGGTCTACTGCTCTCTGTGCTGACCAGAATACTGGCGCATTTGCTTGGTCAATGTTTCAACCAGTTGGAGATGACATGAAGACAGACCGCATTAGCCGAAGAAGATCAAACGGCGTGTCGCAACATAATACATGGTGCTCAGGGACTAGCTGTGGAGGTATTAACCCCTATACCCTTACGGCTAGGTTTGGGCCGGCCCGGACCAGGGGGTTCGGTCCACCAGAAGACGACGCGTGGGCCAGCCGATCTGCTCGGAGTCCCGCGCAAGAAATCAAGGCAGACTTGGAGATCAAGCAAGATCCTGGTCGGTTAGAATAGGAATCCGTATCCGGCCACCTATGGCAATTGTAACCGGTTAGGATTAGTTTCTAGATTTGTAACCCTGCCCCCCAGACTATATAAGGCAGGCAGGGGACCCCTCTAAAAAACAATCTCATTGACATAAAGCAATACAATCAGACGCAGGACGTAGGTATTACGCCCTCACGGCGCCCGAACCTGGATAAAACCTCGTATCTGTCTTGCGTCATCATCTCGTTTGTAGCTTGCGCACCTGTCTGTCGATAATATACTACCTTGGGCATACCCCTAGGTAGACTGCCGACCATATTTCGTCAACAGCGTAGCTGCCGCGCACCATCCTCGGCCACCGGCTCTCCGTAACCAGCCACCCCCTCGTTCTGCGCTGCGTCGTACTAAAGAAAGGTGAAAAACGCATGTTGCAAGCCTTATGTTTCAAGTGTTTCAGATGTTTTATAGATATATTACAAGTGTTCTATATGGATGTTGCAAAAGTAGATCGGGATGTTGCATTTATTTCAATGATTGTACACGTATGTTGTAAGATTTTATTCCCAAATGTTTCATCTTTTTTTCTAGATGTATGTTACAAGTGTGTTTATTTGGATGTTTCATTCTAGACGTATGTTGCAAGTGTGTTCATTTGGATGTTTCGTATGTTTCACACATATGTTAAAAGTGTTTTATGTGGATGTTGCGTATGTTTTATAATGGTTCAAGTGTTTTTTAGGTGCTTTTGCAAGTGTTTCATATGCATGTTTCAAATATTTCATCTATCTTCAGACGTATATTGCAAATGTGGCATCTGTATGTTTCAAAAGTAGATCAGATTCTGCATCTCACTCCTTGCCTTTTGCTGCCTCGCCTCGGTGTCTCCTCCTCCTCCGCGCCAGCTGAGCATCCACCACCCCCTCATTCTTCTCCTTGCTGATGACGTTGGGGGCGGCGCGGGCCCGTGTGGGTGCGTGAAACGACGAGGGAAATGGACTTTAAGTTCGCACGTGCAGGCGCTAGCAAGCCTGTTTTAGTCTTTATGATCTTAACTAAGGAATTTGATTTTACTATTTTTATAACTTTTATTTTTACGATTTTACAATTAAGCTAAGATCTTATCTAAATTGACAACTTTATTACACTGCGATCCGCCGTATCCCGCGCGCGCCTTTTTTTCACAGCTTTTGACGAACACCACTACGCAGGCACCAGCCAGCACTAACGCAGAGCAAACCGGACGTGCAGGCGCGGGACGTGGCGCGTCCATATGGCGTCGTCGTGAACCTATCTTCGTTGACGTACGTGGAGGCAGAACGGGAGCAGCGAACCAGCATTCAGCTGCGTACCCATTCGTCAAATTTCCCAACCGAGCTAGTGCTTGACTCCAGCTCCAGGCCTCAACCAAAATAATGCCTCACACGCACACCCAACAAATCTTGGTGACGCCACGCACGTCATCTATCTTGCCAGGTTGCCCGCCTATTTAAACCCTCATCACACCATCCCGTTCGTTCCATGGCGCCGCCTACACTCTCAAGCGAGATGACGACGATGAGGCGTGCCGCCGTCGTCGTAGTAGCGCTCGCTTCTTCTCTCCTGGCCGGCGGCGTGGCGGCAAGGGCCGGCGCGGTCACGTTCAGCGCGACGAACGCCGCGTCGAGCACGGCGGGCGGCAAGCGGTTCGGCCGGGACGTCGGCGTCGCGTATTCGAGGCGAGTGCTCTCGGACGCCTCCTCCTTCTGCTGGAAGACCTTCAACCAGCCCAGCCCCGGCAGCCGCAAGCCCGTCAGCTCCGTCACCCTCGTCGTCGAGGACATCGGCGGCGTCGCCTTCACCAGCGGCAACGGCATCCACCTCAGTGCCCAGTACGTCGGTGGCTACTCCGGTGACGTCAAGACAGAGGTAACAACATCGGCGGCGGCTAATCTGTCGTGTGGACAAAGCTTACTAAACTTTTCAAAAAAGAAAAACACAACATGAATATGAATGAATGTTTCATCAGGCGACTGGGGTGCTGTACCACGAGGTAACGCACGTGTGGCAGTGGGACGGGCAGGGGCAGGCGAACGGCGGCCTCATCGAGGGCGTCGCCGACTACGTCCGGCTGAAGGCAGGGTATGCGCCGGGGCACTGGGTGAAGCCGGGGCAGGGAGACCGGTGGGATCAGGGGTACGACATCACGGCGAGGTTCCTGGACTACTGCGACTCGCTGAAGCCGGGCTTCGTCGCGCTGCTCAACGCCAAGATGAAGGACGGCTACTCCGACGATTTCTTCGCGCAGATTCTTGGGAAGAATGTGCAGCGGCTGTGGCAGGATTACAAGGCCAAGTACGGAGGCTGATGTGTGTTGGTGGCTACAAGTGCTAGTCAGCTAGTGCAACGCGATCGATGGATCTTTATCAGCGCAGGGTACGGTGCTGCTGCTGCTTATTATTATTGATCCATTATCCGTTCAGATAATCAATAAACCATGCGTCGACGTTAATTTGTATTAGCTTGTACTGAAAAAAAATATATAAAGGGTATTAGCTTGTACTGAAAAAAGAGGGCTTTTGGAGGGAGAAACTTGGGATATAAGCGCTGACCTTCAAGCCATGATTTCGCCAAGTTTGAAGGACCCAAAAACACTCATGCCAAAGCAGCAGATGAAAAATCCCACAAAAAATCAACTCCAAAAGTCTTGAGAAACATAAATTTTATATTTGGAGAGAGAGAGAACAAACTTGCACAAAATTGATAATGTAATACCCAATGGCTCATATCCACTCTACATACTAAGTGAACCACACACTATCACCAACACAATTACTTTTTATGCTAGCTTCACATAAAAGGGTTAACTTGAGGACGTTAATACGGTCTCTATAGAAGCCTCCATCAATTACTAAGGTGGCAATAAACCTTCCCACAATATCACTTCAACATACAGGCCACTACAGGACCAATTTAAATTAGGCCTGATATCACATATACTTGGGTTATCTCAAGACGTTGGGATACAAGCGACTCCTAATAATAAAAATTTTAGATGACAAAAAGCTTTAAAAACAAATAGCCTTTCCTCTCTCTCTCTCTCTCTCCCTCTAACCCTAAGAAAAACTCTCAACCACTCAAATGAGACAATAATCCCAAAGTTGTGCACCACACAGGGCACGCTATTTTCCCAAATACGCTTACATTATGTACTCAACCCAAATACCCCTAGGAGTAAACCTGTCCAATTTTTTTAAATGCATCAGACAGGCCTAGAGTCTTTCCGACTTGCTTAGCCTCAATGCAAACTTCATGATGATGCCATGCATCCTTAGACTTAACACCCTAGTTTTGAGGCCCAAAGTGATCAAACCTCTGTTTATGGTTGTGAGGCCCAAACCTCCATACTTGGTTTTAAGGATCAAACCAATAGACTCTCTTACACACCCCACAAGTATGACTCACCAATGTTGATGAGTGTATGACCTCTACCAAGGTTTGACTCATTTGCGTTACTTCTTGACTTGATTGATGCCACCTTCATCATCCCTAATATTGACGCATGTACAACACCAAGTGCTACGACACCATCATCCTCCTCCTTGACTCGGTCGTGCCATCTTCCAGTGGCGAAATCAGCAACTTTTATTAAGGGGGTCGGACAAATAAGATGACATCTTTAAGCATGATAAATATATACATAATTGTATGTCTCAACAACTTTTTCAGTGTTCTCACATATGTAGTTAGTATTTATAATAAAAAGTCGCAACATATATGATAACAAAATGGATGATTTTTTGTATTTTTGTGCTGTAAAAAAAGATTTATAGGGATATATAAAAAAATCTATGTGCTGGGGGGCACGGCCCTGCTGCCCCCCTGGTCCGCCACTGCCATCTTCACCACCCTCTTGTCCACATGTCTTCTTGCACTCTCCATGTGAGCAACGTGGATTTATGGATGCTCTCTTTAATGACAAGAAAGCCTCAGTGTCACCACACTTCTCCACCGCATGGTCCCTATTTTACCATAATAGTTTATATTGCTTCAGGATGAGCCACTACCTTCAACATGTCTTAATATGCTCACAATGCTTGGCTAGCCAACCGACGCGCTCCAGAGCACGTTAGGAAGTTAATACCTGGCACTAGGGATGAAATTGGACCATGCGCTCCAGAGCAGGTCCTCTCCGACGCGTCCACGTTCATCTGGAACACCTTCAACCAGCCCAGCCCCGCCACGGTGACCCTCGTCGTCGAGGACATCGGCGGCGTGGCCTTCACGAGCGCCAACGGGATCCACCTCAGCGCCCAGTACGTCGGCAACTACTCCGGCGACGTGAAAACAGAGGTTGGTGAGATCAGATGCAGTGTGTTAGTAGTAGTTTAACCCTCATGTTTCGACTTTCGCGCTCAGGCAACTATCTGAAAGTTTCGCAGGTCACCGGCGTGCTGTACCACGAGACGACGCACGTGTGGCAGTGGAACGGGCAGGGGCACGCGAACGGCGGCCTCATCGAGGGCATCGCCGACTACGCCCGGCTGAAGGCGGGGTACGCCCCGGGGCACTGGGTGAAGCCGGGGCAGGGAGACCGGTGGGATCAGGGGTACGACATCACGGCGAGGTTCCTGGACTACTGCGACTCGCTGAAGCCGGGCTTCGTCGCGCTGCTCAACGCCAAGATGAAGGACGGCTACACTGACGATTTCTTCGCTCAGATCCTGGGGAACACCGTGCAGCAGCTGTGGCAGGACTACAAGGCCAACTACGCGTACCAATTTTCAGTTGGCAATTGGAACGAATGGCCCACGAATATTTATGACCCCGCTTCCCATTGGGCCCAAACCAATCCTCCCGTTTCCTTGCACTCCCTTCGATTTTCTTTGTTTGTTTGACACTCTCTGCTTCTCTGGTTACGTAGTACTTTCTCCCTTCCGAATTATAAGATTTTTTTTGCTTTTCTATTACTTTAGATAGAAAAACCAAAATGTTGGGGGAGTGCCCCGCCTTTGGGCACCCTATGTGGCTCAATCACCGTCCCGGGTTCTCGCGGAAGTGAAATAACAGGAGTTAGGCTCCGGCACACTCAGCATCTCGCGAAAACAAAGGGCGAAAGGGCTGACCAGGTGTGAAGAGAAGGACGTGTCGAGCCCCCCTTCTCGCCATGGCGAAGTAAGGGCGGCACTTGCCGTCTTGTTCTTAGACGCCCCTCTTCGTCATGGCGAAAGGGGCGGGACCGGCCAGGATCAGTGCTAAAGGAGGGCGCGGAGTCAATCTCGGCTTGATTTGATTAATCGTTTCCGCAGGTTTCGCAAAGGGAGGGCGCGTAGTTGATCTCGGCTATTCGCTCAGGCGAATAGCCGCTGACGGTTTGATTGATCGCTCCTGCAGGTTTCGCCAAAGGAGGAGCCAGCCGCCTTCACATGGCCGACAGCTCCTATCCGCCGAGGGCCTGCCCGGTCGGTGAAACAGGCGACATAAGACATAGCCGGTTGGGCCTCTCTGGGCTGGCGCTATCTGAGGCAGGCGACTCCAAATGGCGAAAAACCCTGAAGCTACGGGGAATATTCCCCGAATTTGTAGTAGTTAAGGGGGCATTTGCGTCCAGTGAAGAGCCCATGAGCATGTATAAATAGCCCCCATTGAGCGGATGTAAAGGGGGTTAATGAAATGGTTCATTTTGTTTTGCCCGGGTCTCGTTTTACCCACTTCTCGTGCTTGATTTCGCTCGTGCGGCAACCGGTGTTCGACGGCCTTGGCCTAGAACAACATTGGCGCCCACCGTGGTTGCTCGAGCTTATCATGGCACCAAAGAAACTGAAGTTACCGACGGATAAAGCAGCACCATCCGCGGCTATAGCCGTTGTGGCGGTAGCAGAAGCAGCCGCGTGAGATGATGCAGCACCAGCTACGGAACCACCTGCATCGCAGTCACAAATGGATAATACCGCAGCGCCAGGAGGGCAAGAGCAAACACCAGAAGGCGACGTCGAGGAAGTCAAGATCGACCAAAATAGCGATGAGGTCGAAGAAGATGAAGATGGCGAGATCACTGAGCAAGAAACCTGAAGACGCTGAATTAGTACCAGCAAGACATAGTCATACTACAGAACGAGAAGGAGCAGCTGCTCAAGCCGCTGCTCGTAATAGAGCCGAACAGACGTAGAGGCCAATTAGGGAAGCCAAAATTCAGAGGGACAGATTGGTGAGAGAGATTCAAGGACTGCAGGGAGCAGGAGCAGCAGGTGCGCTTGCGCTGGCACAAATGTTGTAATACCAGGTGATAACCTCCTGGAAGAAGACGAAAGTGCATTTGACCCCACTTCGCCCCTATCAAAAGAACTTCAGTTGTATCCATGGCCAGCTGGCTACAAGCCTCGCATCCCGGTATTCGACGGAAAGACAAACCCGAGGAAGTTCCTTGCAAGTTATGAAACCACGGTAGCGTCAGACGCTCAAATCCTCGCAAAGTCACTCATCATGGGTGTCGAAGACATCACACGTGATTGGTATACCTCGCTCAAGCCCTTATCCATCAGGTCCTAGGGCCAAGTCAGAGCAGAGCTAGTGTCCACCTTCCAAGGATATCACCCAGGAACGAAAACGACAAGAGACTTGTTAAACTGCATTCAACGAGACGATGAATCCATGTCTGAGTTTTTGGAAAGATCCATTCAGACCAAAGCTCAGGTGCCAAATATGCTAGAGGCGACAGTTATAGCAGCAGCCATCGAAGGGTTGGCCATAGGCCAGTGTGCAGCTCATTTCACCAGGAATTATCCCACCTCCATAAGGGAGCTGTTCGAGGTGATGAGACAATACACAAGATAAGATGATGACTTGAAGAAGCGAAAAGCGACAAGGAATTCATGGAGACAAGCAGGCAAGGCCCCTAGGCCACCACCAACCCCAAGCCAGCGAAATATGAGGCCATTTCGCGCAATCAACAATCTGCAAGAACAGCCAGAGCACAACTCAGCGGAACAAGGTCTCCAAGGGCCACCGCCTAACCAGCAGTACAGAGGCTTTATCAGTCTCCGCGCGGTAGGTGAGGAGGGCGAACTCCTTGCGGCAAATGCGAAGGCAGAGGAAGAGGACGAAGAATACCCTATTGTGCCGTTTGTGGCGAAAACGCATGACATTTTACAAAAGACTGCAAACACAACAAAATGGCCATAGAACTTAAGGAGAAAGACGAGGCTGCAAAAAGCAGCGAAACATCTAACCATGTGTTCCACAACACAGGTCGTGAAATAGTAAGCAATCATGGTTACGGTAGCCAGTATTTGTCGGCAGGCAGCAACGCTTTCCAACACCCTAGCTTTTTGAATGGATACAGCCAGCATCCGTACATCTGGAAGCAACCACCATTTTCAGTATACCAGCATTTCACCCACCATCGAAGGCAGTCGGCCGTTGCATCCTCGCCAGTTTAGCAAGAGAAGCAACATTCAAGCCAGCCTCCGCCCGCAAAGCAAGAAAATACTCAAGAACACCAAACCGTAAACAATATCTTACCATCGCAAGGCCATATATTTGTGATCACTGGCGAGTCAAACCAGGAGCACGAAAACAAGAGAGCCAGAAGAGAATATGAAAGAAGAGTGCACATCGTCTCGCCAAGGGTACCACTCAACAGGATGGCTTGGTCCATGGTGCCCATTGCCTTTGACGAAAATGACTTTCAAGTACGGGATTTTTCACACAGAGACGCTTTTGTAGCAACAATGAATGTAGCTGGGTTCATTGTACACAACATCCTCATACACAACGGAAGTTCCACCAACATCTTATTCATCAAGCCTTTCGAGCAAATGAACCTTGACAAGCGAACGTTGGAACCTTGCCGGGAACTCATTGTTCGGTTTTGGAGGAAAAAAGATAGACGCGATGGGGAAAAAGGAAATCCCGGTATCCTTCGCAGAAGGCGAGAAGGTCCGCACATAAACCATAACTTTTGATATAGTCAACATGGATTATCCATACACCACAATCTCCGGGAGGGGTGTTCTGAGCAAATTCAAAATCATGATAAAGCAAAGCTACTTGTGCATGAAGATGCCATCCCCTTTCAGCATCATCGCAGTACACGGAGACCAAGCTGCATCCAGGCGAATAGAGGGCAAACTGATCCCAGGTTACAGCCTTATAAATGAAGTTTCCAAGAAACCAGCTAGCGAAGAGGAAGACAGTGAAAACAAAGTCGAACCAAGGGCAGAAGCAACAAAAGACACTTAGAAAGCTCCACTGTCAAAACTAGCGCCAGAAAAATGCGTTCACGTGGGCTCTGATCTGGTAGAGGACGAAAAAGATAGACTGTTAGCTTTCCTCCATGAGAATCAAGACGTATTCGCCTGGTCGGCAAAAGACCTGTAAGGTGTCAGTCGCGATCTCACACAGCACAACTTGAATGTAGCAAAAGGGGCGAAACACAGGAAGCAAAAGCTGAGGAAGATGTCCACAGAGAGAGCGGAAGCAATGAAAGCAGAAGTGCAGAGGTTACTCGATGCTGGCGTCATCATGCCTGTTCAGTACATAGAATGGTTGGCCAACGTTGTAATGGTTAGAAAGAAAAACAAAAAATGGCAAATGTGTGTTGATTTCACTGACCTAAACAAGTGTTGCCCAAAAGATCCATATCTGTTTCCAAGAATTGACAAGTTAGTTGATATTGCCGCTGGATGTGAAGTGATGAGTCTACTAGACTATTTTTCCAGATATGACCAAATCTAGATGAACCCGGATGACGAAGAGAAAACAAGTTTCATCACCCTAGGGGGACCCTATTGTTACCGGCGAATGCCTGAGGGACTCCGTAACGTAGGACCCACCTTTTCTAGAATAGCAGATGGGGTCTTCGACAAGCAGAAAGGCAAAAATCTAATAGCATATGTTGACGACATCGTGGTCAAGAGCGACAAGAGGGAGACCCATATTCAGGACCGGCAAGAAACATTCAAAAACCTAAAAAAGGCCGGCCTCATGCTAAACCCGGATAAGTGCATATTCAACATCAAGAAAGGCAAGCTGCTTGGTTTTCTAGTATCGGCAAGATGCATCGAAGCAAACCCTGAAAAGATAGCTGCAATAATAAACATGAAACCGCCAACAAGCAAAAAGCAAGTGCAGAAGCTTACGGGAAGACTAGCAGCATTGAATAGATTCATCTCGAGGTCAATAGGGCCTATCCTTTTTCAGAACTCTTCGAAGGTTAGAACATTTCAAATGGGGGCATGAGCATCAACAAGCTTTCGATGAACTCAAAACATACTTAACCAAGTTGACAACATTGTCCAAACCATCGTCATCTACAACATTGCTGTTATATCCAAAGATCACCAACAACTGTCGGTGCAGTTGAAAGCCCTAGTTTGGTTTTGGATAATTGATGAAACCTAGCACTAACCTTTGTCATGAGAGGTGATATGAGCTAGGTTGGTGCGATCCAAGTGATTGAGCAAGATGAGGTTCATGGTGATGAAGATGGACATGTGTTGATGATGATCAAGCTCTAACTTGGAAAAGAAGAAAGAGAAAAACAAAAAACCAAGAAGATCAAGGCAAAGGTATAAGATAGGTTTTTGTTTTGCACTCAAGATGACATAGAGGGTGTGAGTGACTTAGGATCGATAGCCGTACTACAAAGAGGGGAAATCTTTAGCTAACGGTTTCTCGAGTGCCACTAGGTGACATGATTCTTGCATGTACATTTAGGAACCTAGTGTGCTAACTTTGACCCTTGTAAAATGCTTTGAAAAATGCTAACACAAGTGCACACAAGTTCTACACTTTGTGGTTAGCAACTTGGAAGCAAGGGTAAAGTGGTTGTGGACTTAAAAAAGAAAAGGAGGAGGAAGTCCACGACTGGATGCTGGCCGTAGGGTGACCGGACTCA